AATTTGAGTAAACTGATTCCTGCCATATATTTATCATGATCAAGAAGGGTTTATTTCAAGAATGAAAGGTTGACAGTTAAGCATATAAATTAATACATAACACACTAACAGACTAAAAGAGAACCTCGCCAGATGTAGAAAAGTGTTTGATAAAAATTCACCATCCATTTAGCAAACTAAAAATTTTAAGGAAATTTTGTGCATCTACCCCAAACCTTCAGGAAACATCATACTTAATAATGAAAAGTTAAAGCTTTTCCTTTCTGATCAGGAAAAAGACAAGGATGCCTGGGATTTCTCTATTCAACATTGCCCTGGATGTCCTATTCAACATAAGACACCAAAGAAAAAAAAGAGAGGGGAGGGGAAAGATTGGAAAGGAAGAAACAAAGCTGTCATTATTCCCAGATATCACTGCATATGTGAAAAATTCAAAAGATCTATAAAGAAGCTATTTTAATTAGTAAGAGGGTTTAGCAAGGTCTCTGAATTTAAAACAGTGATATGTAAAAAATGACTTATACATACCAGCACCAAACAATTAGACAGTCAAAATTTAAGAAAGAGGACATTTACAATAGTATTAAAAATTAAGTGGCACCTAAGGCTAAAGCTAACAAAATCTTGCAAGTCTTCTATAAAGACAATAATATAAATTTACTTAGAAGCAATTAAAGTAGACCTAAATAAATGGAAAGACATAATCTATTAATAGATTAAAGATTCAATATTGTATTGTCAGTTCTTCTTATACTGATCAATAGATTCAATGTTATCCTAATCAAAATCCCAAAAGTATTTTTGTAGAACATAACATTTTACATTTTATACTGAGGCACAAAAGGCTCATAAAAGAGGGGCAAAACTAGAAGACTTGCTTTACCAGATTTCAAGCCCCCTCTATCACACTATGCAGAAAAGTGAATTCCTGGTGCAACTGTGAAAGATATAACTACAAGACTTACAGAAAATAATATCCAAGAATATCTATATAACTGCAAAGTCAGGAAGAATTTCTCAATCAATAACTATGATGCACTAAGCAGAAAGGAAAAGACTGATCAATCGAACTACCCAAATATTAAAGACTTTTTGTATATCAAAATATGCCAAAAGGAGGAGCCAAGAAATGGAAAATATACACGTGGTACAAATAAGTGACAGAACTGGTGCCGAAGGTATTAAGAGCTCAGAGAAACCAAGAGAAAGAAGACTTGAATAGATACTTCACAAAAGAAATCTAAATGGACATTAAACATATGTAAGGTGATTAGTAATCAAGAAAATGGAAATTCAGACCTCAACAAGAGATTACTATCATCCACCAGGTGAGCTACAATTGAAAAGTTGGACAATATCAAGTGTGGTGAGACTACAGAACGAGAACTCTCATCTTGCTGATGGGATATATATAAATGAAATGTACACACATGCATCTCTGCACATTCATAAGTATGTTCATAGTGTCATTATTTGTAATACCCATACTGGAAAACATAATTATTAGAATAAATAACATATATTGTGTATTTTTACACAATAAAATTCTACATAGTATACTACAGCTACACAATATACACGATTCATTTATATAAACATTTTGAATATTTATATAAAGTTCAAAAATTGGTAAGACTAAATATTATCATTTAGAAATATATACATAAGCATTTATTGAAACTTATTTGGGGCATTATATTTGATTAAGTTTTGTAGATCTTCAGTGTTTATTAAAAATGATGTGTATTCTCTTGTTTTAAAGGATTTTTCTATACCTATAAATGCAATATACAAATATATGTGCATATATAAATGCAATAAAGATATTTATCTATGCACACAATGCATCAATGTTGTCTGCTTTATCTATCAATCTGAGAAAAATTTACATTAAAAAAATTCCCATTATAATTATGGATGTCAGTTTTTCCTTTTCTTTATTTTTGCTTTATATTTTTCCAGACTATGTAGTAAGTTGCATACATTTTCATGACTGTAATATTTTCCTATTGAATTTTTCTTTATGATTCCATAAGATGGCCCTATTCATGTCCTTGTTAATGCTATTCTATTTAAAGAATCCTTTTGATAATTCATGTCGCTACACAGTTTTTTGTTGGCATTGCTTAGAATTTGCCTGGTATGCTTGTCTCTTTATTCTTCCCCATTTTAGTTGCTTAGTTTTAACCGTTTTTTAATGTGTTCATTTTTAACTGTCTTGGTAATTATGGGCTGGCCAACTAATGAGGTAGCCATGTGCTCAGATTATGTAAGAGGTGGTTAAATTAGACTATTATCCAATAAGCTAGTCTGGACCATCAGCAAATTTCATTCTGACGCTGTCTCCAGAAAATCATCTCTCTGGGCCCCAGAGCATCTTCATTTAAAACCAGGATTTTGTTGATGTAAGGCAAGCTACTTTGTTTCCCTATTCTTGTCAAAACAAAGTTTCAGTTTTTTATCTTAGAAAATTGGTCATTTTCAGGTTAAAAATTTTAAACAGATGCCATTATTTATGTTTATTTTTAAATGTGATTTCTGACTTGTGACCATTGGGGGTTTTTTTTCTTCATTTTCTTATTAAAAGCCTCAGAGAAACATTTTCAAGCAAAATTTTCAGTTTGTGGGTTGGAAACTTTGTAAATGAGAGGGTTTACTGGAATTGGGGAAAATGATTCAACTGAAAGAAGAGGGAGGTCGGATTAGAGTTGTGACTAGACTGGGGGTGGGGCTGGCCAAATTAGAATTTTGATGAAACATATAGAGCCTGATAGTCACATGACTTCACTTAGTGACTTCATTTAGTGATTCTTTCCTGAAAAGAAATCATCTTTCTGGGTCTTGGCGTATCTTCATGTCAAACCTGGATTTCAGACTAGCAGAATGTAAATTACTTTTTTCTCCTTTAAAATATAAAAGAGATTAAAGCAACAACTTTTTACATCAAAATGTGATTCTTTTTCCTCTTAAAAATCATTCACTCACTCACTCATTCATTCATTTATCCATTCATTCATTTACTCATTTGGAAAAAACCTGTGTGTACCTCTTGGTGCCAGGCACTGTTTTAGGTGCTTGGCTTACATCATTGGTATAAACAAAGATTCTGCCCTTGTAGAATTTATATCCTACATGGAATAGGTAGAGAAAGAAATAATACACATAACTAAATTATATAGGATCATGGAAGATGATACATGCTATGCAAAAAAGAAAAGCATAGCAGAATAAGGGAGATAAGGACTACAGATGTTGGCGGACCAAAAGGGAGGATGGTTGCAATTTTAAATAGGGCTGTCATGGTTGGGTGACCTCATTTAAACATAGACCTGAATAACACAAGTAAGAGTGCTCTTGGCCAAGGAAATAGCTAATGCAAGGGCCCTAAGGCAAGAGCTATGATCAAATAACACCAGGAAGGCATGAGCAAGAGAGGAAATCAATTAGATAGGGGAGAGCCTTGTAGGTCATTGTGAGCATTTTTTATTTTTACTGTGAGAGAAACAGGGAGCTAATGACTATTGTCTAACTAGATCCCCTTTTCTCCCAATCCCATCCAACTGTATTGATAATTTTAAAAAAATTATTGCCGATCTGATACTATAATGCAGTAATTCATTATTGGTGTACTTTCATTTTCCTAATAGGGAGGTTGTGTGTATTTTATATTTATTGTTTCTTTGGATCTTTGGAATTGCTTTCTCTGAATGGCTGGTTTATATTCTGTGCCATTTATTTTTTATTGGGTTGTTTGTATTTTGTTATATTATGTGTAGTAGTAACCTTTTATACATTATAGGCATTACAAACTTTACCTGTTCATCTAGCATTTATCTTTTGACTTTGTTTTGAGCATCTTCTGCAATAAAATTAAAATTTTGTATAGATAAATTCTTACAACTACTTCCTTTACAGCTCTTAGGTGTTCTCTGCCTTGCTCAAAGGATCTTTACAAACTCTAGGTTGTACAACTAGTCTCTTAAGTTTTCCTCTTAGATTTTAAGGTTTCTTTTTTCCTTTTGGATATTTAATTCAGCTAGCTGGAACTCCTATATGGTGCTATAAGAACAGTCGATTTTGCAAACATAGTTATTACATAAAACATCCTTTTCACATTGAATTAAAATCCTACCTTTGTCATATTAAAATGAAAGAGCATTTTTTAAGGTTAAGATATATTACATCGCATCCAAAACCTGATAAGAGCGATCTAGAAGGGATGGATTCATAGATTATGAGAGATAGGATATATAGCAGGATGCCAGTTACTAAGAAGGTTGGGGGGATTGGGACCCAGACCACAAGGGAGAGGACTTAGGTCACCTCACCTCTACCAACCCATAGAAAAGCTGAGGGTATGGCCAGAGTCATAGGCAGCTTGCTAGATCTGCTGAAGGGCACATGAGAAATCCTTATTTAAGAGCTTTTCTTTTCCCAGAGAAGTCAGAAGATCATCCACTCCTTAGGAAGAGGATGAGAAGGGAAAAGAGGTGGGAAGAAGTGTGTAGATTTGAAGAAAGAGGGGAATGTGGGAAACCCTATCGTTGCAGATTTGTGCCAGCAAAGATAGCTGATAAGGTGAATTTTAAGTTTTTAGCAAACTTTTAGTTCTTTTGCTGATCTTTTCAAACCATTTAAGTCAAAAGCTTTTAGTTTCATTTATTAGTATTTTAAAATCACTTAAGGAAAAACTTTTTAGTTTGTTTTCTAGTTAATACTTTCAGACCATTTAAGTCAAAGCTTTTCATTTTGTAGGCTGATCACGTTGTATGTTGGTGTTAATAAAATTACAGGGGTGATTATTTAATCATGGTGATCCAAAGATTAGGTGGCGGGCTAAGAGATAAATGAAATCAGGGTGACTGACTCAGGGCAGATAAGGGCAGTTGGAACATCAAAACCAGGAGTATTTTCTATAATTGTGTCCCTACCTTGCCATTGTTACTTCATTCCTCCACCTCAGAGTGTATCAATCATTCATTCATTCAACAAATACTTACTCAGCACCTATTATGTGCCAGGCACTGTTCTATATGCAGAGGATACACCAGTGAACAAGAGAGACAAGGTTCCTGCTTTCCTGGAACTTACGTTCTAATACAGGAAGATAGACAATAATAATAAAAATAATATTAATAATAATAATAGCTAACATTAATTTAGCAACTACTGTTTGCTGAGACTGTTTTAAACACTTTACAAGTATTCATTCATTTAAGCCTTATCATAACAATAAGAGGTGAAGACTAGAATTATCCCCATTTTATGCAATGGACACTTGAGGGCACAAAAAGGAAAAATAACTTTCCCTTTAGGGCAAGGTTCAACAGCCAGGAAAAGGCACACCTGGAATTTAGCACCAAGACGGGCCATAGATCCCTTTCTCTGAATGACTTCTGTGCTGCCTCTCAGGCAAAAAACAAGGCAAGAAACAATAAACAGAATAAATTTGGTAGAGTTCAGTACTACAAAAAAATAAAACAGGGCAACATGATGGTATTTACAGGGCGGGGTGTGGGGGAGAAAATGAAGATGTCAGGGAAAGCCTCACTGATGCAGTGACATTTGAGCTGAGGCTTGAAGGAGGTTAACAGTTATGTTGAGGCACAGGCAACAGAGATAACCTGGTGCAAAGGAATCTTATTACCCTTGTTTGTGAAACAGAAATGCCCTGCTGGCTGTGGCTAGAGTTTAATATGTAAGAGAGTGTCTGATTAAAAGCGAAGTCAGGGAGATAGGCAGGAACCAGACCCCATGGGGTCTGAGGTCACATTAAGGAATTTGACTTTTATTCTAAGTGCAGTGGGTTTTTAGGCAGGAGAGTAACACTCCCCAATTCATAATTTTCAAAGATCACTCTCATTGCTATATGCAAAATTAACTGTATGTAGGGCCAAAGTGGAAGCAGGAAGATCCATTAGGGAGCAGTTACAACGCAGGTGAAAAATCTTGGTGGCTTGATCTAGGGTAGTGGCAGTGTAATGAAATTTAGGGTATTATTTTGAAAGTAAAATTGACAAGTCTTGCAAATAAACTAAATGTGAAGAGTAAAGAAGAAGGAATTTAATTAGGAGCCTTGAGGTTTTGGTTTAATAACTCATACATGGTAGTGTCCTTTACTGAGATGTACAAAACTAGGAGAGAAATACCTTCCATAAGAAAAATTAAGATCTTCCTTTTGAACTTTATAAGGGAAGGGGCTCTTTCTACTTTTCTAAAAAAAAAAAAAAAAATTTAAGTTTCAAAGAAAGTGTTCTGAAAATAAAGCTTTTTAATGTTCAATTTTATGAACTCTTTACATTTGAAACCAAGTTGGGAGGAGCTGAATTTTCATGTTTCATAAATATTTATTGAGCATCTACTTGTGGCCAAAGACCATGTGATGAGACACCGAGATGGACTAAACAAACAAGATTCCTGCTCCCAGTGCTTTTTGGGAAAGGGAGGAAGGACGATTGGTGATATCCCCCCTGTTCGTTGTCTTATTAAAAGTTCACCTAACGCTTGAGTAGCCATCTTATAACTGCATCTCGTGCTTCTGGCAGTTGGGCCCACCGTTCTAAACGCTCATTATCGGGTTGATAAATGAATCTCTAAATAGTGACATCACCCCTCCCACTAGAACTTAGGCTTTTTTTTTTTAAAATAGAAATTTTAACAAACAATACGAATACAACCTTTGCTTTGAAGACTAATATTTTTGCAGGAATGGTACCTTTATAAAGATCGTGGTTGCCCCCGTACATATTTGTTCTTTCTTCATATCCAATTAAATGAAAACACTAGTTTTTCCGTAGCCCAGCTCTCTAGGTTTGTTGGGTCTAGCTCAGGAGAGAGGAAGCAGGCGCCGTTGGTTTTAAAGTTTGGTGTAATCCTTCTCTACGCTCTCTCTCGCTAGCCGGGGACGTGTTGTCGGCTACCCGGGGCTTTCCGTCCACGCAGCACCGGAATGAAGGAGTCTGGGAGGGGGTCGGGGAAGGGAAAGACGGAAGAGACATTAAGTAATTGGTTCTTGAAGGTATAAAATGATGTTTAGGGTCTACTCTAAAGCACTGATTTCAAATGCCCGCCCACTGGGCCGTTTCGGCCCCGCCCCCTGTTGTCGTCACGACGACTTCCACCTTGCCTGCTGCGGATTGGTCTCTGCCTCGGCCTCTGAAGTGCGGCGAAAGAGCTAGGGGTTTGCTTCCGGGTCTTGGGCTCTGGCCCTGGGCGCAGAGGTTTCTGGGAGGTAGGAGTCGTAATGGTGTCTGTGTGATTTCCGGAGGCTGTCGCCTTAAACCTCGGCCGACGTGAGCGGCAGGAGGGTAGCAGATTGTCTCTCTTGTCCGAGTGGGGCGGGGAAGGGCGGTTTGGGGTCGGAGTCGACGATAGAGAACCGGGCGCGGGCGGTGGAGGCCCCGGAGCGGCGGGAGGTGGTAGAGCCCAGCGAGTCCCCGGCCGGCCGCGAAGCGCGGAGCGTGAAGGTAGCTTTGCAGGCGGCGTTAAACAGGGTCCACACCCCTCCATCCCCCAGATCCCCCTGCGCGTCGGGCCTTTGGGTGAAGAGTCAGCGAGTTTCTGGTAACAGCCCGAAGGCGAGCCCCCGGGAGGCGGGAGTGATAAAAATCCGGGAGTGTGTGGGAGGCGGCGGCGCCCCCAGCGGCAGGAAACCCAGTTTCTCCCCCTGCATGGACCCGTTTTCCCTTTTTTAAAAATCTGGAGAAGTACACCAGTTCCCCCAGCTTCCCCGCGCTCTTGCTTTTCGGACGCTTAACGGGACTTCAGTCGCCACATCTATTAGGCACTACTCTTGGCAGCCCCAAACCAAAAGTAACATAAGGAATGGGTCCCTGAGTTTTGCTTATCAGAATCCTTTGGGGGTGAGTTTCCTGTCTTGAGCATGGTAACCTACAAAAGATCTGATTTATATTATAATGATTGCTATAAAAGAAAATTGGACCGACAAAAGGTTGTTGGAGAATTTTGCACATGTAACTGTCTTAAAGTTTAGCACACTTTTCTCCAGGACACTCAGTATTTGTCAGTGATTTTAAAACAACTTTTGTTTTTGTAGTTACTAGCCTATTTTCTATTGTATGAAATTTAGATAAAATGCAAACCTTAATGCGTCTGGTGGAGTAGGGTTAAATTCAGAATTTTGAAAACTCAATCATGGCAGTACTGAATTTTACAGGGCTTTGACATTTCAATTCTCATAATAATCCTGTGAGGGACATTGCCCATTCCACAGAAACTTAAACTGGATGACTTGCCTGGGGCCACAGAGACAGAAGGAGAACAGGAACACAAACTCAGATCTTCATGAGAGAATTTTTTGCACTAAATAAGAGCTGCCTAAGAAGCTCTATTCCTTAAATACCTTGGGCTTCATTATTTGTTTTCTTTAGAACTTTTGTTTGAGATTATTTAAGTAATTTTGGAGAATGAGTTTTGGAAATTATTTCACAAGGATGAATATTTATTAATACTGTATGAAATGAGGGTTTGTCATATTGGAAATAACTTGATACAGTTTTTCTTTAAAGCATAAAAGATGACAACAGCAGCTAGGCCAACTTTTGAACCTGCGAGAGGTGGGAGAGGAAAAGGAGAAGGTGATTTGAGCCAACTCTCAAAGCAGTATTCAAGTAGAGACCTACCTTCTCATACAAAGATAAAATATAGGTAATGAAGACTTTTTACTTTCTTGTTCAGAAGATAAGACTAAGAAATCTGTTAAATGGCATGCTCGTGAGATTGTAGCATGTTTGGGGTATATCACTGAAGTTTCTGTTTTCATAGGAGTAGAATGCAGTAGAGTGTTTGACATTAAAATTGTGTTCTTTATAAAACGCTATCATATATTACTTATGCAGAAATTCCTGTTAACTGAGAATTTCCATATGTATATGGCACAATAACAATGACCTCAGAAGGCCTGTGCACTATCAGCACTAATCAAGATGAGATTAAAAGTGTCATAGTAAGGAGCCCTGAGTTGACGTACTAACAAAAAGTAAAGACGTTTTAATTAATCTGCAGCCCTATGGGAAAATATGTGATTCAGTTTGGGCTCTCTGAAATATTGGAAACATTACAAGAATGCCTGTTAATAACCTTCAGATTAGGGGAATGATCTCGTTTAGTTCCATGAACCTTGAGGGACTAAAGGACAGAGTTGCTTTTTGTGAATTGTCTTCCATTGCTATAGCCATGTGTTTTCTTAGTAACATTTTTGCCTATTTGTTTCTACTTTAGACAAACTACTCAGGATGCCCCTGAAGAGGTTCGCAACCGTGACTTCAGGAGAGAGCTGGAAGAGAGAGAGCGAGCTGCTGCAAGAGAAAAAAATAGAGATCGTCCAACACGAGGTACCAACACTGCCCCCAGACATTTGTCTCATGAAATTATGTTGACAACAGTTTCTCTTTCATGTGCTAATTGGAACTGGTTAATATTTTTGTTTGCTTTAAAATGTTGGTATAAACAATTTATTGTTTGCTTTAAGATATTGGTAACACTTTCTTAAGTGATTAGATTAGAGGTGATAACAAGGTTGATTCCAGTTCCATCTCTGCTGCTGTAGTAGAAGGAACAGGATGATCTTGGGATATCTGGCAGCTCTTGTTTCAGTTTACATAAAGGTGTTTTTTTTGGTTTTGTTTTTAAGACTTATTTATTTATTTTAGTGAGAGCATGAGCGCACATGGCGCCCATGAGCAGGGTGGGAGGGCCAGAGAGCAGCGGGAGAATCTCAAGCAGACTCCACACCAAGCCCAGAGCTGCTTTGCGGGCCTTGATCCCAGGACCCCGAGATCATGACCGGAGCCGAAATCAACAGTGGACGCTCAACCAACTGAGCCACCCAGGCACCCCTAAAGGTTTTGACTGTGTACAGCAACCAGACTTCTTGAGGCCCTGCGTTTTCTGTCTGTGAGGGTCTCCAGTTTTTGTCACTGGCTTTTGGAAGGCATTGAGGGGCATAAGTTATAATATCTTTTTTTATATGTTCAGTATATATAAACTCTTCCCTAAATTTCCTCAGACTACAGTTCCCATATTAAAATCAATGCTTTCATTAATTCATTCAACAAATGTTGACCAAGGGCACATGCCAGACATTTGGTTCCTGTCTGTGCTATCTTGATGGTTATAATCTAAGCTTTTTGTGCCCACAGGTCCTTAAATGTTACAAGAAACACAGTGTTTATTTTAGTAAGCTAAATTATGTTTGTTTTCCCCAGAACATACAACCTCCTCGTCAGTGTCAAAGAAGCCTCGGTTAGACCAGATTCCTGCTGCCAACCTTGATGCAGATGATCCTCTAACAGATGTATGTTTTATTTCCTCTGTTGATCTCCACATAGTAATTCATGTATTACGTTTTCCGAAATGCTTGTTTTATTTTTTGGCTTTAAGAAGTAGCCTATGTTTATTGTTACTTACTGTTATTCAAATGTAGTCCTGACTTCAATGCTAAGCTTTATGGTTGATTTTTAAAGAAAAAGTATTATTATTATTTTGTTTAAAGATTTTATTTATTTATTTGACAGAGAGAGACACAGCGAGAGAGGGTACGCAAGTGGGGGGAGTGGGAGAGGGAGAAGCAGGCTTCGCCCTGAGCAGGGAGCCCGATGCGGGGCTCGATCCCAGGACTTTGGGATCATGACCTGAGCCGAAGGCAGACGCCCAACGACTGAGCCACCCGGGCGCCCCAAAGCAAAAGTATTATTAATCACAAAAGTAATTAAACTGTAAGAGCAAGTTTGATCTCTGGAGAACCAAATAAGAAGGTGATCTATTAAAATATGAGCTTCCAAAAAAAATAATTCTCCATACTAAACCCTGGAGGTTGACCATGTTCTATACCTCCAGAGGGCATTCTTCATTCTAGGGTCTCTATCAGTAATAGCACCCCCAAGAGCTGAATTCAGAGGCCTTTCCACATTAGATACCAAACATGCCCCCTCTAGGTGTGCAGCTCAACTTAATGGCTCCTTCTGCTAGGAAGGGGGAAGTGTTTTAAGGGGAAGTTCTTTTAGGATTAGTGCTTCAGTTAACATTAAAATTTAGTGGGGCCCTACGGTCTATAATTAACTTGCAGTTTTGTACATTCAGTGGGAAAACATGACTGACCTTTCATCAGTTGCCTCTAAGTATATATATCAGCAATTAATTCCAGAGTTGACAGATTGAATTAAATAATTAACCCAGTAATTAAAGGGAGCCCAATTTTAAATGGTATTTAATAATTGTTTGAAATTTTTCTGAGAATGTAGCACCCTTTTTTTGTACTTTTGATTATCCTTACTTCCTTGATTAAAAGTTGTCTTGAGCTAATGAAATTATTTGACTCTTAGGGTGATACACTGTATATGTATGTACTGTGTGTATCAGTGTAAAGTGTTCCTTGTCTGATTGTAGAAATATTTTCATATGAAATCCCCTTTTGACTATGTAAATTTGAAGAATACTTTGTTATACTTTTTGCTGTTACAATCTCTCAAGCATGTCAGGGACATTTTAGTAAGAATTCTGTAAGCTTGTTTGTGGGGTTTCATTTTATGTTTTGGTTGATGGTTGACTTTAATCATATTTAGGTGCATTTATCTTTCCCAGTGGGAAAATTAATCCTGCCCCAAAGATATGGTAAGTGTAATTTTTATGGGAAAAATAATGAATAAAATGCATTTTCTCCTGGGCTATCATCATTCTTTTTTAGGAAGAAGATGAAGATGAAGATTTTGAAGAGGAGAGTGATGATGATGATACTGCAGCTCTTCTTGCAGAACTAGAAAAAATTAAAAAAGAAAGAGCTGAAGAGCAGGCCAGGAAGGTAAAATCAAAATATTAAATATTTGCATCTTACCATCTATTCTAAACTAGGAATATTTTTTTAATTTAAGTAGTACATCTTATATTAGAAATTGTCCTTGCCATATCTGGATATTACAGCACCTGTAGATCTACAAGTCTGATTATTTTTGCAACATCCAGATTTTCCTGGTTATGTTAGAAATTCTTTCCAAATAGTTCAGGCATGCTTCATAATGCTTATCAGTGTGTTTTTCATTCACTTGTTCGTTCATTTGTTCAACAGACATTTAATCCTTGTCCATTAAGTGTCAGAAGAATTAAGGATGAATATGATATAATCATGGTCTACAAAGAACCCAAGGATATAATGAGACCATCTTTATGTCTTTGTCTTCTGCTTCCAACCTTCTTTCCAGGCATTTGTTGTGCAGTCTGTCAGTAGATTTTATATAGCCTAGGGCAATTTACCTAACCAGTCTCTCCGTTTATGCAATGGAAGAAAAGAATGTCTATCTCAAAAAGAGTTCCAGGGATTACATAGGATCAATAGTACATACCTTTAAACTTTGGATGAGCAAGAGTAGGTCAGAACAGTAGAGATTCATAAACCAGTGCTAAAGGAGTCTGGACTCTGTCTTGAAGGCCATAAAGAGCTAGTTGATTTCAGGAGGAGTATGATAAGATTGGATATGCATTTTATTTTTTGGGTTCTTTTATTATGAAATATTTCAGTAATACAGAAAAATATGAATAATAAATTTAATAGTCATCTACTTGGATATGCCTTTTAGAAAGATTACTCTGGCAGAAGTACGGAGGTTGGATTGGGAAAACTGTTTGAGAAGGCTGTTTCAGTAATCCTCACATGCAATTAAGATAATTCTGCATAATAGGAATTGGAATTGAGAGAAGTAAGTAGATGCTGATGGAGCTGTCAAGGAGGTAAAACTGACCAGATAAAGTGACTGATGAGATGTGGCAGCAAAGATGACCCCCAATTCCCAGGTAGATGTTGCTGACATTCCCTAATGGGGGGATGGCAGAAGGATCCGCATGTTTAGATGAAGAGAGAAGAGATGATGAGCTCTGTTTGGAACATGTTGAATTTAACACATTATGAGACATTCAGATGGAGATATCTGTGTCCACTTTCAAACAGAACAGCTCGGCTTTTTTTTATGAGCTTCTGTGTAAGTTTTCATTTGAACCAAGAATGGTTCTATTTAAAGAGTGGAAAAAGACTGACATGGGTTCATGTTAGAAGTCTTGGGAAGTAGAAGATTGCTGGAACTCAAATTGGAAGAAAAATATTTTAAATATAATTCCCATCAAAGTTTGGCATAGGATAGCATAATTCCCATAATAGTTCCTAATTGTTCCTATCTAATTTTTAAAAATCAATTGTAAGAACTTTCCTAATTTCACTTGCACACCACTAGAGGGCAGTTGTTCTATTCCCGATTCTTTTGTTTTGCCTAATAGCTGTGGATTCATAAAGGGACAAGCAGATCAAGTGTATTTGGTTGACCCTTAGGAAGATAAGCATTTTAGACAGAAGGTTGTGGAATTTTTTAAGATTCCTCTACTCTCTTTGTACAAAAATGTATTGGTGTTTCTAGGGGCTGAAGGATAGTTTTACTTTTGTTCTTGTTGCCCATCTGGTTTTCTAGTGGCTAATTTTTGAAGTGTCCCAAAATATTTTCCAACCAGTCAGCCTATGTCAGGGGCTAGGGAGCTTTCTGTAAAGGGCCAGATGGTAAATATCTCGGGATATTTCAGGCTTACAGAGCATGATGTCTCTTGTGCGGCTTGTCGGCTCTGCTCACTGTAGCACAGAAGCAGCTGTAGACAATACAGAAATGAGTGAGTGTGACTATCCGTTCCAGTAAAATTTTATTAACAAAAATGGGGTGGTTTGGATTTGATCTGCAGGCTGATTATTAGCCTATGTTTGTGAACCATAATGTGCCTGGTACTTTTATTCTTATTAAAGATCTTATTTATTTAATTGACAGAGACAGCGAGAGAGGGAACACAAGCAGGGGGAGTGGGAGAGGGAGAAGCAGGCTTCCCGTGGAGCAGGGAGCCCGATGTGGGGCTCGATCCCAGGACCCTGGGATCATGACCTGAGCTGAAGGCAGTCACTTAACCAACTGAGCCACCCAGGCGCCCCAATGCCTGGTACTTGAATATGGAAAGAGTTGGCACCTTTTTTCTCCAGTGCTGTGCATGGCAGGCAGCCAGGACTCTAAAGGAAATAATACTGCAAATATAAAATGGCCAGAACTTTATTATATCACATACGTTATTATTATATGTTGGATACATTGTATATTTGAGTTTTTATTTTTCTAGCATCTCAGAGAAATGTCTTTTCACTTTCAACATCAATATAAATTGCTAAAAATACATAGTTTTTAGAGAGCTATCTATTCTTAATCTATAATGGATGTTCCTGATTTTGTTTGCTTAAGGTCTGAGCAGTGACCTGAAGGAATTTCCCTGAGCATTGCATCTTCTTACTTCCCAGTTATTTGGCCTCTTAAAAATGAAATCTGTTATTCCCTTTGGGATATTAAAATGAAATATCATTAACTCTGGAAAATTAGGTTATTTTTCTAAGTGATCTAAAACTTTATTAGGTTCATTTTATTTATTTATTTGAAGATTTATTTATTAGAGGAAGAGCGTATGAGTGGGATTGAGGGAATGGCAGAGGGAGAAGGGGAGAATCCCAAGCAAACTCCGTGCTGAGGGGGAAGCCTGATGTGGGGCTTGATCTCACAACCCTGAGATCGTGACCTGAGCCAAAATCAAGAGTTGGCTGCTTAACTGACTGAGCCACCCAGGCACCCCTATTAGGTTCATTTAAAGTTGAAAGTCTCTTTTTCCTTGATCCAGTAAGTCATCAGTTTTTGTCCTTCCTAAAATACAACAAAAGTGGGATTTATTTTTTGTTTTTGGTTTTTTTTGGTTTTTTTTTTTTTAAAGATTTTACTTATTTGACAGAGAGAGATAGCGAGAGCAGGAACACAAGCAGGGGGAGTGGGAGAGGGAGAAGCAGGCTTCCTGCGGAGCAGGGAGCCCAATGTGGGACTCGATTCCAGGAACCTGGGATCATGACCTGAGCCAAAGGCAGATGCTTAACGACTGAGCCACTCGGGCGCCCTTTTGTTTTTGTTTTAAGATATAATGAACAGGTAGATCTAGCAGTTAATGGCTAAGAATTCCAGGCATTTTATATTTCTAATTCTAAGAATGAAACTAAGGGTGATTTGAGTTTAAAGAGGTTAATACTAATTAAAAGTGAAGAAAGACAAGCTTGTAGACGAGCAGTGTAAAAATGGAAAGTTAGTAACAGTAAAGCATAACAAAATGAATAAAGCCGGGGTAGATTAGTAGAAACACATGTTAGCTGAATATAATATGTTACATGATAGTTTATTTTAGGACCTACTTCTTGGCTAATAATAACTTGTCACTAATCCTTGAGGTACAAATTTACATTGTTAATAGTTCAAAATAAAATTATTTTTAATCATAGTTCTGTATAGCCCATTTTTAAAAATCAAGGTAATAGCTTTGCTAAATGTGTCTCTTTGATGTTTAATATATTCTCAGATTACTAGAATATATTTATTGATGTACTCTTAAAATAGCAATTTTATATGTACTTCAAGAAAGAAAATAGATTTAAATATGCATTCATAGAATTTTTGAGTCAGACTAATGAATGTATGATGACAAGCATGAAATATTTATAATAAAAAGGCCAAATTATTTTGATAAGTGAGACTTTTCTGGTATATCTTAAAAAAAAAAACACCTACCTTGACGCTCATTCCTTCTCCCTCATAAAATCCTCACGGTCTTTTAAAATAGGAGTTATGTAAGAAGACTGACCCCAGAATTAATGTAAGTAAATGAGTCCTCCTTTGTCATTGACAGGAACAAGAACAGAAAGCTGAAGAAGAAAGGATACGTATGGAAAACATTTTGAGTGGAAACCCTCTCCTTAATCTCACTGGCCCATCCCAGCCCCAGGCCAACTTCAAAGTTAAAAGAAGGTACTTTACACTAACAAGTTGGATATATATTGCAGATTGTGCGTTTTATACCAAACTATATTATGTTAAAGGCCCCTTTTCACTGATACCCTTCTCCATCAGTTATGGGAATAACGGAAGAAGGAGAATGAAAGAAAATGTACTTACTTTTAGTGGATATTTATGATAACCAGCTGTGTACCAGATACTATTCTAAGCACTAGGGATGGAGCAGTGCATTGAGCCATTGGCTCCCCAAAGCTTAACATTTTATTTATTTATTTATTTTTTTTTTAAGATTTTATTTATTTATTCATGAGAGACAGAAGCAAAGGGAGAAGCAGGCTCCCCGCCGAGCAGGGAGCCCGATGGGGGCTCGATCCCATCAGGACCCGAGCCGAAGGCAGACGCTTAACCATCTGAGCCACCCAGGCGCCCCCAAAGCTTAACATTTTAGATGTATGTGTGAAGAGTCCCCAAGATCACCCTTCACCTTCAGAGACTCCCTAGAAGGAGGCCGAGGACTCCACATATAGTTGTACTTGTGACTAACGTAGTAAAGATACACAGCCAGATAGATCATAAAGAAGAAAGCTACGCTTCCTTTTGCTCTGTCCCTCCTATAAGGGGTCACCCAGCACATTCTTTCCCCCAGACTGAAATGTAGATCTGGACCAGTCTGTGAACCTTAATGGTTATACCCCAGTAGTTTCTTCTCCTTTGTTGCCATAAAATGCAAATACTACAGTGGATGATTGCTAAGTGGTAACTGATGAGAGAGTATAAAACCCTTAAAAGCATGGAATCTAAACTAGGGTAAACTGGTCAGTTATTATCATCTAGAAGTATCTATGCTAATCAGGGTGCTGCCTCTTTGTTTTAGACCTGAAAACATTAAATATTTATGTAATTAAGCCTATGAATTCCTACTTTTTACCTCAAAGTTCCTTATATAGGAGAAGTAATAAGAATGTATGTTTTAAATAGGAATTGCCCTTCCTGCTGTAATAAAGCAAGATTACAACCTATTAAGAATTACTTGATTCTTTTGGGTGTAATTGCTGTATCAGATGCTACACATACTGAGCATCTTTCTGTGTGATGACTAAGCTTTGCAATTCACTTGTTCTTGTCTCCTGATACAGACATATGAGCGTTCTGTTTTCTTTTTTCCCTTAGGTGGGATGATGATGTTGTTTTCAAGAACTGTGCAAAAGGTGTAGATGATCAGAAGAAAGATAAAAGATTTGTAAATGATACGCTGCGATCTGAATTTCACAAAAAGTTCATGGAGAAATATATTAAATAGTACAGTTTTATGTGCTTAATTAAAGACTGTAAAATGTAAACGATCATTCTCACTTTGTTTTTTTCTGTTTCTCTTTCCCCATCTAAATTGTGTATAGGCTTCCCTAATTTTAAGTTCTGAAATAACCTCTCCTTTATTGATACCTTATTTGATGAGGACTTGGGAATTGGTTTAACTAGTTTCCGCTCTCTGAATATTTCCAGACATACATTTTCATTTTAATATGGGAAAGGGAATCTTGTAATAAATACTTTCAAAAATCGAAATAACTAAATCTGTGTCCCCAACTTTTTTGTTGAAATGTATGCAGCTTATAAAACATTGCATATTTTCTTTTGTGAATTGTATTTCTTTGTACATTAACTTCTCATTTCTTTGACATTAATTTAAGGTCAGTTAATGTGTGATATCGTCACTGTGTTTTTAAGAGTGTGATGGAAGATGAAAGGCATTCTATTTTGGCTCATATGTTGGTATGGAAGAGTGTCATCAACCTGTCTGCTCCCTGAGTGTGTGTCTGAGGACGCATGGGGTATCCTTCACTTCTGCAAGCGCTCCTTTCTTTTTCTCTTGGCCCAAAACTCCTTAAGCATGCCTAGGAAGCATGTGACACTTACCCTGTGTTCTGGATACTCAGCTGCCATGTCTCTTTTGAATGAGATAGAGTTTGCACACTGACATAGGTTAGATGCAGAGCCTAGGAAAGTTTAACATCAAATAATACATGAAATAAAACCTTTGGAAATAGGATTTTGTTTGTTATCTTGGAGGATATGTATGTGGGAAGTGGGAGTATCTCTCTGCAGCTGGGAAATGAAGTTTTCCTAAGCTTGGACTGTGATTGGAGGGTGTCACTTTGGTAGAAAAATCAGGACCAGAAATTGAATCATTTACAGAGACTCAGTCATAGGATCCATCAGTTGTAACAGATACTGAGCTTGATAAGTTTAAAAATAAAACTTCAAGCAAAAATAACATGCTTTTATCAGTGGCTATTTTTTTAAACACTTTTCTCTAAGAGCTCATTCACTACTCCAGCATTTCCCAGTGGAAGCTGGGACACAGATCATATGGTACCTGAGTCAGGAGTAAAGCTAGACATGGGGCCCAGGTCTTGACTCCACATGCATGCTCTGTATTTTTTCCAGTTGATCCATTTACACAAAATTTTGAATACTTCACCTAGTGTTTTTTAAAAGCCTTTAGTAATATTTAAAACCTTATTTTTTAAATGTCTCCTTGGGGCATCTGGGTGGCTCAGTTAAGCGTCCAACTCTTGATCTCAGCTTGGGTCTTGGATTTCAGAGTCCTGAGTTGAAGCCACGGTTTGGGCTCCATGCTGGGCATGAGGTCTACTAAATTAAGTAATTAAACTCCACCTTTACAATTTATAAAGTGCCTCTACATTCATTTTCAAGTTTCTAAATAGCACCACTGTCCACAGTTAGGAAGTCCTGGGTGCTTCCAAGTTAAGGACAATGAAACCTAGACCAAATGACTGGATCAAGGTTAATACATGATGGGACATGTACGAGTGCCTTCAAACTACATGAAAATGTGATTCCAGATGTGACGTTAGATTTCCAAAACTAGTTCTTTGGATTCTGGGTAAAGTCTTGAGGAAAAGAGGTGGCAGCACTTAATCATAGGATCTTTTCCTTTTTAGCATCTGAAAGGCGTACCACATATCCAGGGGCCTGATGCAGGTGCACCATTATCCCACCACTCCCTGTGAAAGGTGGACATTATTTTCCATTTTATAGACAAGGAAACTGAACTTTGTACGAACTTTAAAGCAAAGTCATAAACCTTTAAGGGGGTAGGGTTGAGAGTCAAGCCTACAACTGTCTTTATTCTAAAGCTCATCCTCTTAATCGGTGGGCTTCACTGCCTCTTTTGTGTTACTTTGCTCTGACTTTGCTCACCTACGAAACCACAGCAATAAGATAATGGAGTTTGGTGGGCCCTGAGTAATACTGTAAGGTGTACATATCAGGCAGGCACATAGTCGGGATTTCATTCCTGTTCTCTATACAAGCATATAGCAGGGGCCGGCTAACACAAAGTCTTGATTCGTTCTATCATAATGGTCTCATTTTGAATCAAGAGATCCCCTAACCCCTCAAGAGCTTGGGTTGGGCAATAGATACGGTAATTGCTTTTGCTTGGTGGCTAGGATTAGAAACCTAGTCACAGAAACTCAGGTGAAAGAGAGGTTTATCTTAAGAATACTTAAAAAGGCACCTCCTCTGCCCAGCTCCGACTATGTGTCTGTCAATTCATCTGCCCCACTTCCTCTGCAGGACTAGATTTCTGCACCAAAGTACTAAGAGGTCATTCCTTCCCGCTCCTGGCTTCCCTGCTGGGTCTGGGTCCTGCCGGATCCCAGAAGCCCCAGCACCAGGGCGCAGGGTGGGGCTGGGCTTGTATTTGAGACACCTGCTCGGGAGGATGACTTGGATTAAACCACTCTGGACGAGGAGAGAGGCTGGAGCAAGTGAAAGGGAGAGGAGCACCGCTGGCCCTTCTCAGGGCCCTCATGTGAAGCCAGCCCCTCTTCTCAGGGGTGAGGGCTGCGGAACATGGAAGACACAGCACCGGCCTTGGGATCGCCCTTCCACAAAGGCTGGGTGCCGTTGGATCTTTGGTATTGTGGGGATGTGGATCTCACACCTTTCTGTAAGTCACACTCCTGCGGAAGCCCCTACTCCATCCGAGCGATTGGAATCGTTTTATATGGAAGCTCTTAGGTGTTTTTCATTTTCCTGTTTGAGAGTGTCCTGCTCTCCCCTGGCCTAGATGTCAGGCACCTTAGGAAGGGGAAGAGCGAGAGGCATTCACCGCCACCCCCGAATCCCCACCAACCCCCCAGAGAGGGGGACCTTTTCATCTAGCCACATTTTTAAGAGGCCTCCTTCTGAGAAAGAGGCAGAGAAATGGTCCTAAAGGCCCCAGGCTAATTGGAAGCAGCTTCCTGGGAGCTCAGCCATCTCTTTGTGCCAGAGGCTGAGGAAGGAGGGAAGAGGAAGGAGTGGGGCTTTAAATACTTTTGACTTCAGAGGGAAGGGTTCTAATGTCATCCTGAGATTTCCTCAACACTCAGCGACCTTGAAAGTCTAACTCCCAGCCCCCCAGGCCTATTTCCAGAGGGTGGGTTAAATAAGTGCTGGGACTTAGTCACACTCTTGAAGAGTTTATTACGAAGAAGCCACTTAGGGAAAAAAGCTGGTGATGAGGAGAAAAACTGGTAAGACCACTGGCCACGCTAGGGAAGCAGCGCTACACACTCGCAGGGCCCTGCCCCAGCCGCCACCCCCCCCCCCCCCCCCCCCCCCCCCCCCC